AATTGAAATCTGCAAGCAGTTGTTTCAAAATCAGTAACTTCAACTTCGAAGTAAGCAGTTATGGTGTTATCAACAGAAACACCAAAGTGCGAGAGATACAAATACACTTTGAATTTAAAGTTCTTTTCACTTAAAGGAATATGTCTTACATGCAAGAGCAGCAAAGAAACAGATCTTCGACTCACCTTCCAAACCGTTTTTTCTCCTTTTATCAAGATCGTGCGATGAACGTAAAATGATTACATCGCGCTTTGTCAGACAGCAGACAATAACAGTTGACAAACTTGGCTTTTAGTTATTAGCGCATCAATTTTCCAAAAAGAAGGGATTGTTTTCCGGTTCAGTTCTTCGTTGACGCAAAATTGATCATAACCATTGTTGAATTGATAAAAAGTACGCTTGTTTACTTTGCAGCAAAATGTAAAAGCTCCGTTATCAATTAATATGTAGATTTTGCCTCATTAATGTACTTTGCTACTTAATGGAAATGGAAAAGGAAACAGTAATATTGAAAGGAAACGTCAGAACGTAACAAAAAAAAGTCTTACTGGGTGGTTTTTAATGTGTATCTCAACGGACTAAAAAGTTAACGAGACGAGAATCGAAAATATTGATTGTAATACTCACAATTGGTTTTAACGTTGCGATCCCAAAAAATTGTTCTGACACCGCATCTTGTCATCTGTTTGAGCAGTATACCTTAAAAAGTCAGAAGAAACAATCGAGATGAGAGACGGTGGCCAAAAAAATAAATTCTGGATAGTATGCAAAGTTGTTTTAATCATGTGGTCAGGAAATATTCTTCTTCTGAGAAATTATTAAATTCGGAGTGAAATTCTACCTAAATATGGTGACAAACTATTTCCTTTATATATTGGAACACCAAACTTAGATTTAGATTCTAGATTTGAAGGGTCATTAACGCCAAGTAAATACCCTTATTTCCGAGAGAACCAGCTAGTATTTCACCAGGATGTTGAAAGGATCTCCTCCTGTAAAACTTGTTAAAGGATGAAACAGGTTGAAAAAGATAGAAATTGCAAATAATTGGATAAACTGATTGTATTTTACTCTTTGGTTAATGTACAGGCTTACCGTCCAAGCTATCGTCTTAAATTTTTTTTAACAGATTTCCTTTACTTAAGACTTAATACCAATAAGTCAAATAAATTCCTTTTGAAGACTTTGCCCGTGGATCAGGAGAACTGATGTCAAGTTGCCCCATTTTTTTATGCAAATTAAATGTTAAGGGATGCTCTTGGTAAACTGTGGTCCACTTATCCCCAATCCTCTTCACCAAAAAAAAAAAGCCTACCCACAATGCCTGTTGTTCAAGTGGAATTATTTTTTCTTTGGCTCATAGCAATTTGCAGACAGGTTGGGAACTTAGTTCCTTGAGAAAAATGACTAATAGTATACTTCATCATCTCGTTGTCTATTCATATTAAGTAGAGTATAATTTATGACTAGATGTCTGACGACACTTAAGAAGAATGTGACTAGACAGTTTGATTCTAATACATTCATTAAATCCAGTGTAGCATCAAACTATGTCTGATTGTCCACCTGGTTGCCGTGTGAACTTTAATATAAGAATGTGACTACTCCTGGAGTGAGGTCACTTAGGATAGCACCAACGTGACTTGCACAACATCTTGACGATTTTACGCTTGGCTTGCATCTCCCCTGCTGAACAACACTTTAAACTTTCTGAGCAGCTTTGTAAAATACAATCCCCTGATTATATTGAGATAGCAGAAGCAGACTAATACAAACGCGAGAAAAACAACCAACGTTAAAATTGACCAATAAATGGTCGCTGATGGCTTCTTCCAGAGCATAATACACCTATTCTGCATCTCGTCCCAATCCTCGAAGACAAATAGGGGCAGCACAAAGATGAACGCAAACATCCACATGGCAACGATCGGATATTTGACATTTTCTTTCGTGAGCCGCAAGCTGGCGTTCAAAGGGTTTACCAGCGCATTATACCGCTCAACAGACACTAGAGTGAGTGTCAGCCCAGCGACCAGAAGCGATATTCCGGCCATGTGTTGCATGGTGACAAACTTGCACAGAATGTCTCCAAGTAGGCCATTGGGGTGTGTGATTAAGTCTTTCAGTAAGATTCCTGGAATACACCACAGTAATGTTAATAAATCGGCTAGAGCGAGATTGGCGAGGAGAAAGTTTGTTGTAGTATGCATGTAGCGTTCCCTTTTCACGACAGCTAGGATAAGAAAGTTTCCTATTATTCCAATAACGACAATGACAGCATATCCTGGTAACAGAACGAAATCTTCGGTCGATAATTTCATGTCGTTGCAGTCCTGAAGCGATCTGCAATTTTTGAGTTTACCGCAGACTTATGCGATAAAACAGGTAAAAATGAGTTGTGCGATATGAGTTGCCAGTCTGATCCAATCTTTTCATTTACCCAAATATTTGTTTAAACAGTGCAGCTGAATATTCACGGAGCTGTCAGGATAATTGTTGTTTTTATCTGTTTGACGCTTTTATTCGAATTCATGATATTTGACGCGCAACATTAGGACCTGGTTTAAACTATTTGCTTCACACACCAAACATGTCTCTCATTATTTGAAAAGATCGGATAACTTAAAAGGCACATTTATTAATCGAAATACGTTTATTTGCATACAACTGAACATTTGGAAAAAGGAAGCGAAATATCAGATTAAATTCACTAACCACACTGAAGATCTTAGAATAATCTATAATGAAATATCCCACGGCTCAATGTAAAAAAAGGCACCAATGCACATTTATTGGCTTCTTTTTGTCAACTTTTATAAATAATTTACAAAAAGGGGAATGATCAATAGATTTGAACATTCGCTTGTTATTGGTACCACCATGCTATGTCAGAGTTTTAACTAAGTGCGTAATTTCTGACAAACATCGCAATTTGGGAAAAATTTCACTTTCGCCGAAATGCTTTCAGTCCACTCACACAAATGAAAGCAGTGAGCACGGCGATGTAACAAGTCAGAGAGATACACTAGAGTCTGATAAACAAGAAACTGAATAGTTGAATTTTAAGTTCAAAGACGCAATTAGTCTACTAAAGACCATTAAACGATGCCGGGATGTAAATAAGATATCAGTTAAAAACATGTGTGTGCATCATCAACGCTCTTTTTTTCCTCCGCCTTATGTTAAGCCAATACATGTATTTCGGTCGTAGAAGGTATAATCTGGCTTATCTCTGTAATTGCGAGGAAAGTAGAATGCTTAGTCTGAAATGAAATTCAATACATCAATGGCAGTTTTGAAACGTGATTCGTAAGGGAGAACTTCACTCTTAAGAGGATGTAAATGTTCATTGATGGCGTCTTATCTGACACAAATAAATACAGCCTTGTGACGTTACCAAGGCAACGAGGGCAAAGCTGCTGTTTCCCATAGGATCGGAAAGAAACTAAGATAGTGTAAAACTCGAACGTGAAATGTCAAAAAGAAGTAATGAAATGAGGACAACTGACAAGACTTAAGAGCATCGTTCCGGGAAAATTCAGTCAGTGCTGCGACGAAGGAGATATTCTGATACACAATTTTGTAGCCTGCACTTTCTGGCAGCCTTACCCTAAGCGGTTCTTTTTTATTTTTTATTGCAACACGAAGAACACTACTTACAATACCACTTACGACAATTCAGGAAAATGATAATAACGAGAACGATAATAACACAAATTATTAGTGAGACTGAGAGGAGTCCAATTCGGTCTGTAATCATGCGGGTGATAAAAAGGTAATTTAGTGTTAACATCCGAGTTGAAAACGTAAATTAGCTACCGTAAAGGGTAAAAAACTGACGTTTCGAGCGTTAGCCCTTCGTCAGAGCGATTGGAGGAATTGTGGGTTGTGTGTGGGTTTATATGCAGAAAGTGGAGCTACGCCATTGGTGGGAATATGGTGACGAGAAAACAGGAATAAAGAGTGAGCGCACATTCACAATCAAGTGTAACCCGTGTCTACGCAAGTTAAAAGTTAAAATTTTGGAGAAACCGGAAAAGCAAACACAATGCGCAGTAAACCTTTATAAATCATCATTTCCCAAAAAAAACTGCGGCGAAAGAACATTTAAACAACTTATTTTCAATGAAAAAAGCGATAAATGCATGTTAAGTTTTTACTCTAAAATCAAGTTAAAAGACAAAAATCGTAAATTTTTTCGCACGTGTGCAAACAGGTCTGCGGATCTGATTTCAAAGTACATATGCATATTTGTTCGTGTGTGAAGAGATCTCGTGTTACATGGAATCTATAAAATAAGTAGCAAGACGAAACAGGCTAAGAAACATTTTGGAACGAAAGCTTTATTCAAAACAGTTCTTGGTCTATGAGAGGTCAACTCTTAGCTGTAGTCCGCACTTAGAAAAAGAGCTGAGTGTAGGAAAGCCGCCGTGCGAAATCTAAGTCACGAAGATGAACGAATAATGAGATAAACGATCTTCGACAACATATTACACCCATAAATACAAAATGGCCGCTCTCTGAGGCTTACCAACCCCAGAATAAATATTTTAAGCCACGACAGAATGGTTTACTTCTTTTAAACCACAAAAAAATGCATAACACGACTCCAATATGATATCTCGTTTTATTGCTAATGCATTCCAGCTGATGATAGCCGCTTTCAACTTTCTTGTTCGAAATCTAGTACGACTCTAAGCGACCACTAGTTCATGTTCACCACCCAGCAGTTATCGAATAGGCTATCTAATCTACATTGGAGCCAATAACAATCGGTTCTGTTTTTCTGATGTACGTTCACCTTCGGTTTTATTTGTCATTTTACTTGTACTCAAGTAACTACATATAAATATGAAAACGTTTTCGCGTGCCGATTGGCTGCGAAAAATGCAGGAGAGATATTTCAGTACAGAGAAAAAAGAAGTGAATAAAAAACGATGGATTGCACCACCATCTTCGCACCAAATCAAACAAGACACAATTGGATAAAATACATTTATTTCAGATTACGCCCACGTAAAAGGCAAAACACTCTATACCTTGAATATTCTTAAGATAGAGCTAAAGAAAGGTGGACGTATTCCACAAAAGAAAGTAGAAATCCAGACCGAAAAAACTGTCACAACGTTCCACATGATTATAAAGTTTAGTTGTGCATGCAGTTTCTCGCATATCGTACTGTTTCGGTAACCTTTCCAATCTTTCCAATACAAGTTAGGATGAGGTTATTAAGTTGCCTTATGCCAATACCACTCGAACCCGCATCAAGGAACACAACGGAGACACAAAAGTACTGGATGCAAAATAAATGATAAGGGATCCTAGCAACACAGATAAGCCAATAAAATATATAGATTGTAGATGGATAAAAGTTATCAACTCTCTTGGAATGTTGAATGTTATCAGGCATAGTCGTTGTTATAAATATATATAGAAACTTAATGTATTAAATCCCAAAATCAAACCTTTCACTCGCCTTACGGGTAAGTTTTGTAATATAATGCTAAATCACAGTACGGCTGGCAACTTTTTACATGTCAAATCTTAATGTTACATTTTGTTCACGATGAATTACCGCTAAGACTAATGGTTAATATATCTGATCCGATTAATGAAATACTAAAAAAAAAAAAAGATGGCTTGGTTAAAAAACAGTGACTTAAAAACATTTCAAATTAATACGTACTTTAAATGTACTGATGTACATTTTGTATTAATGCTTTCAATTTTGCTTTAAGTCACAAAAACCCATATGAATGAGGAAGTTTTCCACGTACAAGAGAGCCGCTGACCAAATAGACAAAAAGGTATTGATCCATAAAAATATCGATATATTTTCAAGTGGAAGGGTGACGAAAAGAAAAAACCTAGGAGTGCTGTTCGATTGAACAACAAATTATTAGATCTTAAATATTAAGAAATACATGGCTGACATGGCAGAGAATCGATATTCAGAGCTTAGAGGTAAAAGAACTAATAGAGGTTGCCCTTACAAGATTTAAAAACTACTAAACACTTCAAACATTTAAAATCCAAGGTTTTCTAAAAAATATCCGAGCGGTTGCTTGGTAACATGGCATAAAAAGCAAACCTTACAATCTGGAAGCACAGTATTGACATATAAAAATAATGCAGAGCCTGAAACGTTATTTTTTAAAACGAAAATGAAACGGATTGTATCATAATGATGAAGACAACACAAGGAAGATGGCAAAAAAGAATTGTGTTCAGAGAACAAGAAAGGTTATCTGTTACGATCGCGATACTTGCAGCTTGGAGTGTCGCATTCACAGAAAAACTCTTTCCGTTTTACCGACCAGAATCTATCCCCGTAGTTAAAACTGAAAAATAAGGAAACTTAAAATTACCATCAGCTTCACAGCAAATTGCCTATCTTTCTGATTCAGAAGAAAAAGCCATAAATAAAGGGCTGCCAAAACGTTTGAGACTAAAACCATATACTTGGCATCCAGGTTATCGCAGACGCCATCTTATTTCGTCAGATTACATGTTCTACAGGGAACTATTCGTTTAAAATTTCCCAAGCGTTCCACGAAGTCCGCACGAGTCCTCGAGCAAATTCTAGATGCAGAATTGATTAATAAAGGGCTGCCAAAACGTTTGAGACTAAAACCATATACTTGGCATCCAGGTTATCGCAGACGCCATCTCATTTCGTCAGATTACATGTTATACAGGGAACTATTCATTTAAATTTCCCAAGCGTTCCACGACGTCCGCACGAGCCCTCGAGCAAATTCTAGATGCAGAATCGCTTCACACATTTAAACCCGCCTAAAGGTAAATCAAACATTTACCTCCACTCACACCTGGGAAATTGCTGCTATATACGTTTGCTAAATTGTGTTTCAATCAAAATTGTACGATTTCATCAGCAATCACTTTGAAATGAAGTGAAAGCAGCCGACCACGTGGTCTTATTGATAGCACTACGGTTAGAACGTCACTGCGGAAAACATCCAAAACTTTGAGATTATTTTAAAAACCACAGATCTTTCTAAAATAATGGTAATTGAAATATCATGCGACGACGTACTCACCATATCTCGTCGTGTACATTAATTTCTTTTGTTGCGAAAAAGGCAATCCTTGGAAATCTAACGTCCTAAAAACAACGTAGATTTAATTTTCAAAATTACGACCTGAAAATGAGAATATCTTAAAGGTATTTACAAAGAGTTAACTTCATTATTTTTATCACCGACTAGAGAATCATTAAAGCTGACCTAGAACATGCAAGTTTCCTAGTCTTCTTAAATCTACAAACATACTCAAAGTTGAAATAAATCTTTATTAAGGAACAATATATTATAGAATAAGAACTTGATATCAGCAATAGTCGATCATTTTTGTTCCCGAGCGGCCTTGTTTGGTCTTCTATATTAACCAAGAGTTTTCACTGGCACAAAGCCCCTTTAAAATGTGCTACGCTTTCTTTCAATGGTAAAGATACATGCAGGAAGTAGGACGTAGGGGGTAGGAATACATAATTATTCCTACATATATCACTGTGAACACGGTTCTGTCCATGTCAACTGCATTCACTACTTCAGCCGTGGGACATTAAATGGTCAGCAGCACTTACCCTATGATGAATGAAAACCCGTATCGGGAAGACGTTTGGTTCGCACGAGTGATTGATAAATCTGCTGATATTACCATAATGCTTAGCATCAATGCAAAACAATTCGTGAGCATTCTCCTGAAAAAACAAACAAATTAACATATGACGTAACTCGGCCCTTTTAAAGCGCCACACCTAAGGCGATTATCCATAGAAAGAACTGCTAAACCATATCCCTAGTCTAACAAATATTTACGTGACAACCAATGCTTTGGTCTCATTAGGTGACTGACAAAACTAGATCGTGTGGGTCTCGCCACCCAAAAGAGTAATATTCAATCGAAACAAAGTACTTTTTGCAGCAGGCTTTGTCCATACCTTACAATCTAAGTCAAAAAGATAGTCGTCATCATCTCGCGCATCCGCCTCAGTGTCAGAAATTAATTCACCAGTGTATTCACAAACAAAACTTCCCTGCGGAATTTCGGCAAGGCTTCTGACACCCCAACCTACAATAAACATACAATAAAAGCCAAAATAAGTTTTGCATTCAACGGAAAAAGTAAAACGAGACTAAATAAGCTCGCAAAAATCTGTTACTGGAGCATATCCTTCGGCTAACATCGATAGGGAAAAATTTTTATCTGCAGTTAGTTGAGTAGGATACTCAGTCGGATATTACTCTTGGTACAATTTCAACTGATTCTAAAGTTGCAGTCGTCACTTAAGACGTTTTATGAAATATTCGTTTAAAGTCCTTGACGTATTTTGTTTCCCACTCTCTTTTTAGGTTTCATTAGTAGTTTTATTCAGGTAACCTTTTCTGTATGTTCTGTACAGTTGTAATGGATACTGCATTCCTTTCTGTACCACTCTGTTTCTACAGTACGACCAGCAATTGCACATTCTGTTACACTCAAACACGAGTGGCCTGTCGTACTTCTGCAGGTCGCCTTTTAACAAACCTTCCTATAACAAATGGAGTTTCCATTGCCTTAATAACAAACTTGCTATACTAAGTCACGCATATTCTTAAGGTATTCCATTCATGATTTCAGTTCCTGGGCGACTTTCCCCAGGAAGTTGCACTAAGAGCGCCCACAAAATAACCACATGGAAGGTTGTATCGATTTACCTCGTTGTACCATATTCTCTGCCGTTCGCTCCTCTCAGAGCACCTACACGCTCTTCCACTGCGACAGTCACCGTCACAAGCACATCCCTACAGAATACGAATATTTCTTCAGAACATCACAGAATTATAAGATACAACGAACGTCTTTTTTCCTTCTACCTCAACATACCTCAAATTTTGAAATACTCCAGTTTATCGTCCCGTTGTAAATTTCAAAGGATTCTTTGACAAATGTGAAGTCCGGAAATGGTACGTCGTCAACCTGATTTAAGGTAAAAACAGATTCGAGTCAGAGTCACAGATTCGTCACCTAGTCCACAGTATTCATAAGTCTTCATGTTGATGCATTTAGCTTGACAAGAATCGCATTCACTAGCCTTTAGGTTTCTCCTGCAGACCTTTTCGACACTTTAAGTACTTCCAAGACGAAAGCGAATTGCGCGATGAAAAATGCTTCATGTCACAACCACTCGATACGGAGACATTATTTACCCTATTACCTAGCTATTTGTCGATATTTTTGGACTCTAAGATAACGATTAGAGTACGTCAAACAATAAATAACCAGGTGCTGGAAAAACGCGGCTTCACCGCCTTGAATATTTAAATGACATGTCTTCCTCTTATGATTCCTTTTTTGACTGGAATTTACGCACGGAGGAAAAGCGTACGACACACAGAACCCTCCCAAAAAAAGACCAGCGAGCACGAAGGACAAGAAAAAAATAAACTCGACTTTAAAAAGTGACCCAAGGTGTGCGATCTGATCACAACAAGTTACACTGAGACTTATCCCAAGTTATAATTTACAAATACAAGGGCATACCCACCTCGTTAATACAAGATATTGAAACATTTTCTTGCCCACGGGAAATATCACTATTAATGAAATCAGAACAAAAGCGGTAATTAAAAAATGTTCATGCATATTCGGTGCTCTTGCTTCTTTACTTACGTCCTTACTAGCACACGACTGACCTTGGCGTTAGTCACCAACGACACAAACTAACAACGTCAGTCTTTCGCAATAAAATCATCTGAATTTCTAGTTTCATGATTTCGCATACCATACGAGCGGACATTTTGCTCATTAACGCAAAACATGTTAAACCATCAAATAAGGTGTACATACATGAACATGTTAAGTAACAATACTAGGAAATTATAGGTAAGGTCGAGCAAGTAAAGAAATTTGTAGTACCTGTGAAGGATCCGCGGTCTTATAAATTCCTGACATGATTCCAACTCGACTTTTGAATGCAACAAGTTTTTACTTTTTGTATCAGGTTTGGCAACCTGCAAAATTTAGGCGTT